AGGCATGATTGGTTCTGATGCTGGATCCCACAGTCACATCTTCTGCCCCTCTCCCTCCATCCCCACAAGCACTCAAAAGAAGACTGCTTGGCAGTACTGCTGCCTGTTTCTTTAGGACTTGGACCCATGTCTCAATGTGCTCCAGCTAATCAAAACCAGTCTGCAAGAAGGACAAACTCCTGCTATTTATAAATGTAATTTTTAAATTCCTACGTTTCTGACCAGGTCTTTCATAACAGTATCCATAAGGGGCCTCAGAACAGGTGTCAGTGGACAGAATTTTATTTGGGCTGTTCCCAAAAACTGAGAATAGGCTGCAGAAGCTAAGGTTAAAATGAATTATTTCCCTAATAGATCCAAATAGGCAGGGTCCACTTCAGACAACAGATTTCAGAGACAGGTCTTCCTCAGAGGAAACCTGGCAGCTGATAGGGAAATACTCTGACAGGCACTGTGTAAATAATTAGGAATGTATCATTTGTAATGTGTTAAATGCTTGCTTTTCTGTCTGATAGGGTTTTTTTTAGGGTGTCACCATTTCAGATTCTGTCAGGATGATGGATGGCGTGAAGGCAGGGGAAGTTTTTATGAGTTGGGTTAAACATCCTTGACCCTCATGGTATTGCAACTTTGTCATTCAGGATAAATGTGAAAATCAATTGAACTCCTTTATGGAGCAATAGGGACCTCCACCAAGCTCAAAGCAGCATGCATAATAGGAGTAGTAGCTAGCCATGTGGCTCAAGGGGAAGTCCTGCTGTAACCTGAAACCGAAGGACAGTGGAATTGCTGGATTTAGAGCACTGTATCTCTGTATGTGAAGGCAAAGCAGTGAGAAACCCTACAAAGATGCAAACAAAAGAAGCAGAAAACAGCAAGCCTGAGGAAAAAACCTAGAGCATGCTTTGCAGAATCAGTTGTGGCTGTCAGGCTAAGTACAGACAGTCAAAGAGACAGTCAAGGCTGAATCAATTCAATCTTTGCAGGTTAGTCTAAACTGTGTAGATTGAACCAATAAGCAAGTGAACAGACATTCACTTTTGGTTCAGGAAATGTAGCCAAATGCCTGCAGTAGCCCAGGCCAGAAGCCAGGAGGCACTACAGCATACCTTCCTGTTCAGCTGAAGCAGACAGCTTGGACCAAGGCTAGCTTGGTTACCGTGTGAGGCGGAGTTTGCAGGGGAGATGCAAAGCATCCTGGTATACTAGGGGACTGTGAGTTAACTTGAATCTGGAGGGGAGCTGGGACAAGTTCAGTAAACCAATTTAACCTAAATCAGTTAAGTCTGATACTACACCCATGCAGATTTATCTTAAACCTGTTTTAACTATTTTGAAAGTGGTTTATGTGCACTGAACTCATGTTGGATTAGATTTGAACCGGTTTCTGACTAGTTATACTGGTTTATGTGTAATTTCTATCCCTAGGTTCAGGCTCGGACCTGCAAGCAAAAAAAATCACTTGTGCGAATCCTCCAATTTTCAGGGAAACAGGACTTTTTACATTCATTATAAAGACAGGACTACTTGAGAAAAACACCTCGCTCTATCATGCACTTCTAATTGAACCAACTGCCAGGATCCCAAATTTTCTTTAACTGCTTGGGTCAGAAAGGGGCAACTGTTGCATATCATTTTAATAGCATATTTAATAGATTTTATGGATATCCTATTGTGCTAGTCATTCTAAAGCAGCAACATTTTTCTCTTTAAAACAACTGCTGATCACTTTTCTTAAAAAGAAAAATAAGGCAGAAATTTTACCGTGTCCCAGGCTTTATTAGACATAATATAACAGCAGGGGACCTTTTATAGCTTTAGATGGCTATCTTACTTTGAATGTACTTCCAGTGCACTTTGACAGATTGCTTTAAACAACCAAGTTTGCCACAAGTTCAAGCTCCAGACAACACATAATCCATCATGAGAAATGAAAAATCCAAATAGCTAAGGCATTTTTAAAAAGAGGAAGCATACCCTGGACTAGAGTCCAAATTTATTAACAAATCACAGGTTTTACAGAAAGCCTGCCACTAAAACCAACACAGTTGTTCTGCCTAAAGACAATCAAGAAAAAAAATGTCCTTGGACTTTTCTAGGGCACCCTGCTAAATAATGACCTACAGTGTCCAAAATTGATAACAGATCTAAAGCCAAAATCTTCACACTACTGCTCCAGTTTTTGATGAGTACAACAGTTTTTATTTCTCACCATGTCTCTAAACCAAAAGCAAGACTGGGAAAATACTGGTAAATGTTTGATTGGTGAGTCTGAGTCAATAATGGTAGACAGAAATGAACTGCAATATTCTGCAATGTCATTCTGGGAAGAAGGAGAGGGAGAAACAACCATTAATACAAAGAAGGTAGCTAGATTTAGGAACCAGGAAGGTCTAATTAAGAGAGGCTGTTGCTAGACTAAGCCAGGTAAAAGCATTTGAAAAGTGACAACAAAGATATTCATGTAAGGCAACACAGAAACTTGAAATACACGGAATTCAATTTCAAATGAAACAAAGCACAAGTGTTTCCTATCCACAGGAAAAGAAACACCACATGCAAAACTAAATTCAGTGACTGCAGCAGGATTGCAAAACCCCATTAAAACATCACAAGGGTGATTGAGGGGAGTATTAAAGTGACATCAGATACTGTAAATAATTTGGAAGTCACTTCAAAGCAAACAATGTAGGGACAGCTAGGGCTGCTAGGGTATTACTGAACTGAATATATCAACTTCTCTGTACACGATAATCAAACTTTGACATTAAAAAAACCTCTGACCAAGAGATTAGATTTGGGTGTGGAAGAACTGTAAGACCATCGGGGTTTTCCCAGGCTACTATGGGTCACAAGCTATAACAGGCTTTGAGAATAATACACGCTCTGAAAGAGTACTAATTTTAGCTAGCTGGTAAACTGGGGGACTGTGATGCACTGATTTGAACACTGAAAAGAGGAATGCAGCATCTAAAGGGAAGCTTTTCGTCTTTTCACTACTGCCAGGATGGGTCCGACGAAGAAAATTAATAAAATTGCAGCCACTTGGCCTAAAATCTAAAAAGCTGTGCTTGTAATATTGCAAACAACAGGGGCCAGTCATATCAGGTAAAGAGGTGACTAATGAGGGACTTAATTATGGTAACTAAAGCTGTACAGAAAACCTAGGTTTTACTTTGTATACATTTTGCAGAAAAAACATATTTTATAGAATTTGCTTTTTTATTTTTTCACTATATAAAATTAAATATAGGAGTTATACTTAACATTATATTTTACCAACTATCCTGATTACTGATCCTTGTTTTGGGTTTTTTTTTGGAAAGGTGGTAAAAAAAAGTCCAAATTGAACAGATTTTCTGCTACCTGGACTACTTCTACGTTTACAATGGCTTGCCCTAAAAAGTCAGCATTTCACAATAGTGCTTTTCTGAGGGTTACTGAGATATTGCCATGATTCTTTATTCTACGCTGGTATCTGTTAAAAAATGTTGGTGTTGTAGTAGCAATGGTCAAGGGTCCCATTATGTTCCATTCCCCTCGCACCATTTTTATGGCACAAAACACATAGAAACTGCCCACATCTACTCAGGAACTATACAATCCATACCAAATCCCTGGCCATAACCTAGTGTAAGGGGCAGAGAAAATGAGTAACCAGACAAGATCTTGCTTTCACTATCCTCAGTCATGAGATGGTTCCTTCGGGAGGGTTGCCAACTGGCATAGATTTGAGAAATCCCCAAAACTCTGAACTGCATTTGTAGCTGTGTTAAGAAAGCAGCCCTACTGTGCTGAACCAAGACAACTTTGGCTGCACGAGAGAGCCTGGCATGTTGAAGTTTGTCAAAAATGAGACACTTTATGGAGTGGTGATTAAAAACAAGATAACTTCAAATATGGAAAATGGCTGCCAAAAGATGTTCCTACACAATGGAAAATTAAAGCCCCACGGGTTAGGTAAGAAAAGTATCGTCAGTGGATGGATGTGATAACCAGGAAGTTGTGAATCTTGTCATGTGGAGTTACTATCTTAGTAAAAATGATTCAAATTTAAAGTCAGATAAAGCACCTCTTCCCCTGACGATGCATCTCTGGGAGCTCTTGGAAGCATGAAAAAGTTATCTGGAAGAGCCAAATATTTATTCAGTTTTCAAATAGGAATGATGAGTTCATTTAACTATGCTACACAAACTAAAAAGGATGCAAATTCAGTACATAGCTCAAGAGGCAGATACACTGTGACTTTTTTTCTGTGTAATCTACAAAATTTAACTCAACCCTGTAGGGCACCACCTTTTGGAAGTGAGAAGTATTAAAATTCCTATGCAGCTATGAGAAAATTTAATGCAAGGGAGGAGAGATTACAGTGTTTTGGGAAGGGGAAAAAATCTTATCAAATTTGGTAGTATGCCAACAAACCATGCCATTAGGGAGTATAATCATGAAATAGAAAATCTGCAAGTATAGGATATTCCAATATGCCTACAATATTTCTTTTGTTCTTAATGTCAATGTTATTACGCTCTCAGTTGGAAAATACTAATCCTCTATTAATGGTTATATGTTTAATCTATTACAGGAGTACCACTTTCTGAACCTCTCTTGCCTATTAACACTGAACAACTAGAAGTCATTTTTATATTCTTCACTGTTTTAAACCATTCTTTGTATTCTCATCCTTACCTGGCACAGTTAACAAGAAAGTAACTTATGCTGTGAGTACAGCTTTGAGACATTTATTTCATAAAGGCCAATCAGGAATTACAAACCAAGAATGTATAAAGCCAGCCCAAAGGGGAATCACATTTTATTTCAGTGCCAGTCACTTTAATCCAAGTTGCAGCTGCAGTACTACTAGCAATCTGACTAGTTTTTCTAGCAGATAACTCTACCCATCAAAACTATTGCTCCTCTGTTCAACCTTCCAATCCCAATTAGGTACTGGTAAAGTGTCTACACTACCCAACAAGGAGCACTGTTTACAATAACGAACAAACCTGTGTGCTGCGAAGAAAGAGAATCATCACTAGCTCTTTGTATGGGGCTATTGTTTCTCATGAGTCCCTTCCTGAAATCAAGCGGCCCAAGGGATTCATTGTAATGGTACCTGTGTAAAAAAAAAAAAAAAAAAAAAAA